TGAACCCACATTTATTTAATCCTGTGACTTCAATATAGAGAATTTACTGCAATTACTGAAACATAAAAAAAGCCCAAACTATAAAATATTAAGAGAGACATTAAGAAATTTAGTGGCAAGCCTTCCATGTAGCACTATTTTCATAAATTAAGGGAGTGACAGAACCAAATCTCACACATTGTTTAAGAATTATTCTCTGACATTTGTTTTCTGGATATCCAAAGTTTCACAATATCCACTTATAACCCCTTAAATATTTTACATAATTCAGGTTCTTAACACTTGCATTCCAAGATACCCACACACTGAGTGTCTATGTGTGTCTATACCACACCTGCAACTTTTAATACTTTAAAATTATTCTTTTAATGGTTGTCCAGTTTAGAGCACCTCTTCTGTTGTAATATAGGTAACAGATCACCAGAAGAGAAATACTTTACTTGGATCTGTGTGAAGGAAAAAACCGGGATTTTTACACAACAGATGAATAATGTCCTTTCTGTTTCTCTTTCTCCAAGACAGAGATTGGCAAATCAGATAACATCCATACTGGATTTAAAGCACTCAGCTTTGAAATCAACCAACCGACTAGAAACTACCTACTTAAAAGCGTCAACCAGCTATATGGAGAAAAATCATTGCCTTTCAGTAAGGTAAGACTTTTATTCAGATTATGCAGTGTCATTTAATCTTCATGATCTACCTACAGCAACATAAGCTATATACTTTTAAATATTTTCGGTACATTTGCAAATTATGTTATTATCCTTAACATTTTCTACAATACTTTTCCTTAGACTTTGGACACTAAAATTTTAGTTTTTTGGGATGTGTGTCTAATCTCAGAGTGATTTGTAGATGTAGTTAGATGAGAATGTTTAAATCGAGTGTTTCCACAAAAAAATACTTTGTTCCTTTGGGAAAACACTGTTCTTGTGCCCATGTAATTTTTATGTCTGGCTGTAGTAGTACTCATATTGGCAGGCTGCAAATCTAAGTCAGGTGTCTCTATTGCACTGCAGGAATACTTATTTTTAGCCAAGAGATATTACGGTGCAGAGCCACAATCAGTCGACTTTGTGGGAGAAGCAGATGCAATCAGGAGAGACATCAATTCCAGTGTTGAACAACAGACTGAAGGTGAGTTCCAGCCTCTCCTCTCCAAATCAAAAAGGAGTCATTTTGGCTTCTCTGTGCCCAAGGGGCCCATGACAGGTAAACAATTCACCTCAGAAAGGTAAATCAGACTTTTCCTAAATTACTCATCTACCAACAAGCTCTTACTAAAACTAGTGTCCTCCATCTCAGTGTGTGAGGAATATGGCTTATTCTTCTTTGTGAATCAATAATACCCCTAACTTACCCCAGTAACTAAATATTTGCAAATAATCTCAAGCTAGATGAGTGCTATGGCAGCACTTAAAATTTCCCTGGTTTATATCCCCAGAAACTGTGCCAGCACTTAGACTGAAACAGTGAAACTGCACAGATGTGTGAATGTCCATCTGTTTTCTCTAGGTAAAATCCAGAATCTGCTGCCTCCTGGATCCGTAGATTCACTCACCAGGCTAGTCCTAATAAATGCACTCTACTTCAAAGGAAACTGGGCAACGAAGTTTGAAGCTGCAGCTACCAGGCAAAGGCCTTTCAGAATAAACATGGTATGGCAATATACTGCCCTATTTCCTACACTGCCGGTGGAAAAACCTGGAAAAGATGGAAGGAGAGGAGGGGGAGGGAGGAATCCTGTCACCCTTTAAATCCATGTGGCGGGATAGTTATTTTATTTAAAGCATACATGCATTCAGTATATTTATTTCACAACACTTTCAGCACTAAAACTGCATACCCATACTAGGCTCTGAGGCACAAGTAAATTGTCAGAAGCTGACTTCAAAAAAGCTTCCATTTTGCAAAGGCAGGAAAAAAAGAGGTGCATGGGTTAGTTCTTTACATTTTCACTTTTAGCATTCAGCAAATCAGGGTGGCATACAGTTTCCTACAATTGGTGTCATCTGAGACAGCTCAGATAGCATGCCACGCCTCCCAGTGCCTTTCCAGTGCCTTGCAAGGATCCTCTGAAGATCCTGTGTTCTGTGTCCTACTCATAAGGATGCCTCAGACACATTGGGCAGCTTGTAGAGTAAATACAATAAACCTCCACAGTGCTACTTTAACTCGGTCCTTTTACTGTTCAGAGTACAAATGTAAAACATTCCATTTTATTTGTTGCAGCATACAACTAAACCAGTGCCCATGATGTACCTGAGGGATAAATTTAACTTAAACTACATAGAATCAGTTCAGGCTGATGTTCTTGAGCTTCCATACGTCAATAATGACCTCAGCATGTTCATCCTGCTGCCAAGTGACATCTCCGGCTTACAAAAGGTAAGAAATTGAGAACATAAATACTGTGAAAAAGTAAGAGTGTCATTATTTACTTACTTTATGCATGTGTGAGGTAAAAGACCAGGCTGTAGTTACGTTTCTAGGAAGGAGTATACTGATCAGGCTCAAGGTAAAGCAAATCCCAAATCTGGTCTGGTACTGTGAGCTCGAAGCTCTTGAAGCTCAGACTAGATTTCTTAGTCTTGAAAGCCAGCCAGCCAATGTCTGTGGTTGCTAAAGTTCATAAGTCCTGGAAACAGGTAACCCAAACCCATAAGACTGACTCTTTTCCAGCAGAACAAAAACGAGGACACAAAACCAGCCCTGCTTAATCCACTGTCTACACCAAATCAGACAGATATGATTTCATTCTGGACAAAACCCACCAAAAATTCGGCAGCTTCTGTTATGTGCCAGGATGTCCAGAACCAATATGTATGGACACTGCCACCTTCTGTAAAAAGCCTGATTCTGCTTTTGGACAACAAACCCTTAAGAAATTTTCATTTTTAAGGTGTTGTGTGGGGGGCAAGGGAAAGCTCTTTTCAGTGAATTCTAAAATGTGGGGAAGACAGCCCTGGGAACAGAAAATCAACCAGACTATCATAGCTCTGCTATATTCCCTGACAGTTACAGAGAACATTTCAAATATTGCATTGATATACTGTAGAATGACATTCTCCTTTAGTTAAAAAGATCTCCAAACTGCTGTTACATTACTGTTTTTCTTGTACTCTTAAAACCTCTTGAAAAGTTCTCCATTTAAGAGAAAAAACAGCACTTAGGGCACAGGTTTTTGAACATTTCTTAATTTTCTAATTTTCCTTTTAATTACTGCAGCTAGAAAGAGAATTGACTTTTGAAAACTTGTCTACCTGGACAAATCCAGAACTAATGGAGAAAATGAACATGGAAGTTTATCTGCCCAGGTTCACGTTAGAAGAGAAATATGACCTCAAGTCTACTTTGAGCAGGATGGGGATACAAGATGCCTTCACAGAAGGTCAAGCTGATTTCACAGCGATGTCCAAGACTGGTGATCTGTTTTTGTCCCAAGTTTTCCACAAGTGTTACCTGGAAGTCAATGAAGAAGGCACAGAGGCAGCAGCTGCCAGTTCGGCAACGCTGGCATCACGAAGTCTTGGTGCTACTGTTATCTTTTTGGCAGACCACCCTTTCCTCTTCTTTATCAGGCACAACAAGACCAAGACTATCCTCTTCTTGGGAAGGTTTTCTTCCCCCTAGAAACTTGATTGCTAAACAGGTTATTGCAACAACAAAAATGAACTAAATACACACCACAAAGAACATCTCAATAGCCTGTGCACTTCTCAATTTTCCTGTACTGTTGACAAATCTCTCAATGTTAGAAGAGAGTATTTATCAAAAATAACTTCAGATTTATGCCTCTGGCTCATTTTCCTGGCCAAAGAACCCCAAAATGCTAGCACTACATGCTAAGTACCAAATTACGCAAAGAAGAACATTACTGTGTTTTTTTAGCACTTTCTGAACCAGAACTTCCACAATTCAGAAGAGACTGATTTGAGCTCAACCAGTAAAGTTAAAGTTTTGATACCTAAGAAGATGAAAACTTAGGAAAATCTTGCAGAGTGCTGCTGCATCTCCAATGGTTTCAGCACATGCTGATCGCCAAGGCAGGCTTCTCACCCACCTTCTTCTCAGTTTTTTATCAACTCTGCAGTCTGGCAGAACTGGCAATGAAATAAACCTGCAAAATCACCTTTGTTCCTGATACTGGTGCTTCTTTTTTTTGCTTGAAAAGGTGTTAACACATGTACTTTCTAATCTCTGTCCCACAGCAACTGCAAAATATTTAACAACACTATAGAACTAGGAAAATAAAACTCATGTGCCTCACAAACTTCTTTGTAAACTTTCACCCTTACAACACTATTTCCAGCCTAGTACTGTACTGCTTTGCTCTCATTTTACTTTGCCACTTATTCACTGGTTTGAGACAAGATCAAATGGGAGAACTAAGTCTAAAGCTAATACAAATAATACTAATGGCCATAAGCGCTTTCTGGAATATGAATGTGAATCTCCCAGGTCATATTTCCTCCTGTCACTGCCCTTTCTCCTAAGAGAGTTCCCGATCAGTCATGCATGTTTGTAGGGAATGCTCCTGACTATATGAATTCACAAGAGACAGCAAAGGACCAGGTTTCTTAATGGACTTGCACACAGCAACAGCATCTTGCTACAAGCACATTTTCTTGAAACAGCAGAACTCCCCTTTCCTGGCAGAGACTGCTGACTGTCCCTGCATTCTTTCTCTTCATTCAAGTGGTCAGCTGCTCCCAAGGTCCCTTCTGGCTCTGCTTCCCAAATGGGAAGGAACACAGGAAAAGTGTTATGAAGCACGTGCTTTATTCTACCCCTACAGAACCCCAAGAGAAATGCCTTCTGCCTATCTCAGTCGTGAAACATGACACTGGATCCCTGTGCATGCAGGTCCAATTCTGCCATGCCCTCCTTCACCTCATATAAGAGCAGCATGTCCCCATGGATAAGCCTCTTAAGCACTTCCTGATATGCCTTGGGAATAAAGAGAGAAAAGCCACACCTGGAAGGCCAAGGAAGAACAAAACTATGACAACATGAACACAAACTCACTCAGGCCTTTAAAGTCATGGACATGTGAGTCACCTTTTCTCTCTCCTTCACTATTTTAAGCATGGTTGCAAAGATGACACAGTTGATGTCCTTTTGGCAGTGCCATATCATTACTGAGTGGCAGTGGCCACAACACATTAAAAGTGAGCTGGACATTAGGGAACAACCTTTTCCCAGGGTGAACAGCAGTGCTGGAAATGTTGTGGAATCCTCATCCTTGGAAGGGCTGTTGCTAACCTTATCTACTAATGGCCCTGCTCCAAGCAGGAGGTTGATCTCTGGATGTCCCTTTCAATTAATATCTGTGGGGTTTTTTCTCTCTTGTCAAAAGCCACTCTGCCTTGCCATCTCCCTTTCTCATCCGGTATGGCTTCCTTGCATCTTGACTAGCAAAGGCAACTACCTTGCTCACAGCATATGTCTTTGGGACATGGGAATCTCCTGGCTTGGTCTTTCTCACCACCTAACCATTCAGTTGACTTTTCTCCTATCCAGATTTCTGGAGGACTTACTCACCATACTAAAACTAGCACTTGTTCAATTTCTGACATTTCTTCACTGCCTTGCACAACACTGATTTTTGACATTTTTTAAAATTCTTGACCCATTGTATTCCTGTAATCAGGCTTGCAGAAAAATGCTTAGCAAACAGTACAATTTCCTTCCTTTCCTGCACCTTCCGCTGCCCTCTAGAGTTTTAGAGTTGTTATCACCTTGTTCTTCTTCCATCACTGCCTCTCTTCTGGGACTTCAAAATGACAGCTCTTGTGCCATGTTTACCTTTCTTGTTTCTCTCTGTCTTTGCTTGAGCCCTCCCAGCAGGGTTGTTTCAATTCTTGCCCTCCTCCTTACTGTGCACTAACTCAGGGTTTTGCAGTGTTTGTCTCAAATGATTCCCAGCCATGACTGCAATGAGATTTCTTCACAAACACAACCAGTGGAGTGTCCATCCCTTACCCTCCTTCACAGCTTTGCCGCTGTCTGTGCTCCTAATGATCTTCAGTCTGAAGCTGGGCTCCCAGTCTCCAGTTCAATCACTAAACTTGGTGTTTTATGCTGAGATACTGTATTTGAAACTCAGGAGTCACAGAGAGGAGAATCAGACCCTCAATATCTGCTTAAATAAATAAAATAATAAAATAAATTCTTAGTCCAGAAACTAAAATCAAGTATTGTGCAACCTTTTAAAAAGTCATTTATTTCAAACAACACAGCAGTTATCTCCACAACACCAGAAAACCTTTGGAATCAGCAATTTGCTTTGCTATCCTGTCAGTAAGCTATTGTGGTGCAACAACAGACTTGAGATTTTAATTCCATTGTCCTTTTGAAATCTCTAAACCTGAAAAGTGACCAGGTCAACAAAAAGGCTAAAATTTTGTAAGATCTTTTGGGGATGTGGTAGAAAGGAACTTTGGATAGGTGGAAACAACCTGGATGTAGACAAAAAGGAAAGGGAGGGGCAAGCAGTACCATGCTACCTAATTTAAAAATTGCTTAACACACAAATGCAGGACCTGACTGAGGACAAGAACTAAGTCTTCTCTCTCACGGGATTAAAGGTAAATATTTAAATCAATTTAAGTAAATTTTATGGTGTTTTTAAAAATCAATCTGTGTCATGTGTGACTGTATGGATAAATGATAATATACCTGTGTTATAATGCATTATTCTTGCCTTGTGTTTTTGTAAATGTCAACCATTACAGAAAATAATGCTGTAAGCCTACAGAAAACTGCTAATTTGGGGCAGAATTATTCACAAGCAGGAAAGTTTTCTTAGGGCAGCGACTGCATTACAAGTAAAATCTTCATTTTAATAAAAGAATTGCGTACTTCAGATGAAGGCACAGCACTGCACATTATCAGGCCAGAGACTCAGAGGAGTATTCATTAGCTGAAAACAGAAATTCCCATCCTGATGCTCTCTTGGTTGTGTTCTCCAAGGAAAGAAAATCACTCTGTGGTACAGACATGGTCCTGAGGGCATACTGACTGCCAGAAAGAATGTAGTTGTTTGGAAACCAAACACTTCATAAATATCTGCAGACTTCAGAGATTGCCCCACAATTTTTGTTGCTTCATTCCATAGATACAATAACAACAATAATCTAAGCATTTCTGGTCTCTTGAGTGGTAAATTACATGAGGCATCTATTACTGGGTAGATATCTTAAAGCCTGGAGCACTCATAACCTCAAGGCATCTGGCAGCTTCTGGGGAAAACAAAATTGCTGGAACATACAGATGGGGTGGTAGATGCACACAATGAATAAACTGCATAAGTCTACATGGAAACAACAGCTTTGCTGTTCATGAAACTACTCAGAATAGGTTGCTGGCCAGAAAAAGCAAATGAGCCTAAAAATTTTGCCTAAATCCTTTTGCAATATCAGCTGTCAATTCTACACAGATCCAAATGTAGTAGTGGGAAACTCAAAAAAATGTTGTGAAACAATGCACAAAAAATGCATATAAATTGCCCTAGGAATGTTGCTTTGATAAATCATTAGTTAAGGACAAAAAGGAAAAGAAATACAGAGGTTACAAATTTGGAAATCAAAGGCAGAAAGAATCACAAAGAAAACTGCAGCTGTAGAGGGAAAAAACCTAAAAGAAACTGGTGCTCCTAACAGGTGGCAAACAGTATCTGTGTGCAAGATAAACATACACCTATGCTATTAGTTTTAGTGGTTTAAATGGAATGTCTTGCACATGCAACATTTCTCACTAAAGGGTACTGTGTACAAAAATTTAAACACTCAAAGAGTACAATTCTGTCTGTTGCCTCTTTCCAGGTTGTAAAAATGGAAGTGGTCTCCACATCAGTTGGCAACTTTACCATTGATCTTTTCAACAAGCTGAATGAGAACAACAAAGGAAAAAATATTTTCTTCTCCCCTTGGAGCATATCAACTGCTCTGGCTCTGACATACCTGGGAGCAAAAGGAACTACAGCAACTGAGATGGCAGAGGTAGGTTACTTTTGTACTATTATCGTGGGGAGAACCATTTGGATTTGCACAAACACATTCCTGTTGTTGGGAGAAACAGCTGTGGAAGGGAGTTCTGCCTTACAGCATGTAGATAGGAGCACAGTGTTGGTGGTCTGGGTGGGGGATGGTGCAACTCATTGTTATTCCATGGGATTTATTGTCACTCCAGCTTCAGCATCCCTTTGATTAGACACCTAAGCAGCAGACAGCACAGTGAGTTATCACAAGGAGAGAAACATGACAACCATTTGATCCCCATTTGACTTGAAGTCTCACAAGGTCCTTCATGCCTATTTCTGATCTTTGAAAACTCTGCTTGCAGGTCCTTCATTTCACTGTGGGAGCAGGAGCTGAAGCTTCTTCTTCTGTGGCCAGACCTTCTCGGGGGAGACCAAAGAGAAGAAAATTGGTATCTATTTGAGCTGAAATTCCATTATAAAGACCCTGCAGAATCAAAATGTCCAGATACAGCTTTAGGAGTCCAGCATTTATTGTCTGCACTCCTCTTTAAAGTACAAACCATACTTCACAACAGGATGATGTTCAGTTCCTTTCACTCACTCAGACTCTCAGAAACTGAAAGGACGAGTCACTGGGATAGTCTGGAAGGTTTGTTATATGACAATTCGGTTAATCCAGTCATGGACAGAGCTCTGCAAATTTGCAGTGATGGTAAACTTGGGAAAATAAAAAGTAAGGAAGAGGAACACAAATCCCTCTCCTATATACATTGCTTAGCATGTTTTGAAAGCTTCATGCAAAAATGAAATTGCTGAATGTTTGGTCTCTTTTTCCAAGGATCCTGAGAACAATCAAGCTGCAGATATCCATTCTGGCTTCAAGAAGCTCCTGACTGCCATCAACAAACCCAGAAGCACCTACTCCCTGAAAAGTGCCAACCGCATTTATGTGGAAAAAACCTTCCTATTATTGCCTGTAAGTTAAATCCCAGGGAAGAGGAAGAAAAGGTGAAAAATATTTTTCTTTTTAATTACTTGCCATTAATAGAACAGGTTGGAAGCTGACCTTCAATACTGCAAATAGGAGCTTGGGACTTTAGTGATAACCTTAACTGGAAAATATCTGTCTGCTCACAGAATTTGAGGATGCATTGCCCTTTGACTGTATTGCAGGGATTCCCTTACATGAAATGTGCCTTTAGTATTGGAACTCCCAATATACAAAACTGTAAATGAGAAATTAAAATAAGCACATCCATAGGATGTGCGCAGCCTTCATCACTTCTCCAGATAAATCTTGGAACAAAATATGTGAAACTTCTGTTCTTTGGTTATTTCTTACTTGTTAACCCACAGTCCAGCACAAAGTAACAAGCAATATCCTACAGTCCTCTAGGTCCAATAATCTATCAAGTATAAGAGCTAACAACTTCCTTTTGGGACTAAAAATAGTATATTTCTCTAGTACAGAATTTTTTTGCTCACTTTTTTATTATTTTTCAGACATACATACAGCTCAGTAAGAACTACTACAAAGCAGAGCCACAAAAGGTTAACTTTAAGACAGCACCAGAACAGACAGGAAAGAAAATCAACACTTGGGTTGAAAAACAAACTGAGGGTAAGCTGGGCTCAACCCCAACACCTTTGCTCTTCCACAAAGCCAGTCTGCCGTTTCCTCTGGGCAGGTGCCCTTGCTTCCCCAGGTGCTACTGCAGCAGCCAGGTCATGCCTTCTGATGTGGATGTGGGCAGTGAGCAGAGATGTGGTGGGAGGGCAGAGAAAGAGCAGCACACTTAAGCAGCTTCAAACATCTGATCTGGACCTCACTGAGCTCCCTGAGGAGATTCCCATTGACTGCACTGTGCTCTGAAGCAGCTGGTCTGCAGCACAAATGTGCCCTGGTGCTGCACCTAGGCACCACTGGCAGAGCAGACAGAGGAGAGAGACACCTCTGCCTACCAGAGTGCTCCAGGGCAGGAGGGATGCCTGCCCTGCTGTACCACTCTGCACTGGGCAGAGGGGCTCCTCCTTCTACCTCGTGTAACCAGTCAGTGAAGTTTGCTGCTTCTAGCTGCTTGCCATGAAGCTGAGACAGTTTTGGAAGACAAAGTAAATCCCTGTCAGTCAGGAGGACAGGTCAGGAAAAAGCTTTGGAGAGTGTAAAGAATTGCATTGATTTATCTTGGGGGAGCATTTTAGGGAGCAGGGCATTGAGGCATGGACTTTTTACTAAGAAGCTGAACTGAGAGAAAAACTGATCAAAATGTCCTCACTGTGCTATGCTGGAATGAAACCTGACTCTTGTGCTTTCAAAAGGAAAAATCAAGAATTTGCTGGGTCCACAAGACGTGACAAACTCCACCAAGCTGATCCTGATAAATGCCATTTACTTCAAGGCAGAATGGGAAGTGAAATTTAAGGCAGAAGATACACAGCTGCAACCCTTCCGACTGAGCAAGGTAAGTTCCTCCTTCTTATTGTAAACAACCTGGTCACAACAGCTATTGCTGAAATTTTTCCATTTCATAAGTCTTTTAGGTAGCCCTGTGGTAACTAGACCCTGTGAAAAGCTGGTTGCAACAAAATTTGTCAGTTCTCAGCTCACTGAAACACTAGGATGTGCTCAGGCAAATCTTAGTGAGCTCCAGGTAACAGCTACTGTTTCCAAAATCACTACAGACATTTAAAACTTTTCAGTAAAGCAGTGCTAAAATTGACTAAATTGTGAAAACATAATTTTGAGAGTCCAGGCTTCATGGATAGGAACTACATGGCATGTCAGGGATGAGTACAGCACCAGACCTCTGCACTGTGCAACCAGGCTGGGCACAATCATTCCTGCTCAAACACAGCTGCAACAGGGTGCTCTGAACTGGTGCATGGCTGTGTGAGGCTAGAAGCAATGTTAATGGCATGAATCCAGAAGAGATGTTAATGAATTCACAGTTAAAGAACTCTGTGCAACTTCCACAAAGTGTACCTTCTGCCCTATGATTAGCATGTACACATGGTCTGCTTCTTTGAATGAAGGTATACAGATGTTAATAGAAGTTACATAACCCTAACAACGTGACTGCTTCCCAGGAACTCCTCGCATCATGAGCCCTTTTGCTCTGACACTAGTGTTATCTTTTGTCAAGCAATCAGCTGATCACCTTTTATCTCCTCAGAGAGAGGAGACCACTGATAAGCTGCACAACACTCATCCTCTTAAACCACAGCTGTTTTTCTGCCAGAGTGTTGCCCACACCTGCTCCATGCCCCTAATCCTTGCAGACATTTCTAACTCTCTTCCTCCTTAGGCATTTTTTGGGGAGAAGAGAAAAAGATCTCTGTTCAGCCCCCTACAAAAGCTTTGGGACAGACACCAAGATAAGCAATGTTGTCCAGTCAAGAAAAGCTTTGGAAAAAGGATGACAAATCAGTTTTAAAAGTTTATAAAATCTCCTCTCCCTGGACTGCACTGAGACATCATCACCCTTACATTCAATGAATGATTTCTTACATATAAAAAATACTTTCCAGAACAAGACCAAGCCTGTAAAGATGATGTACATGAGAAAAACATTTCCAGTTCTCATCATGGAAACAATGAATTCCAAAATGATTGAGTTGCCATATGTGAAACGTGAACTCAGTATGTTCATCATCCTTCCTGATGACATCAAAGACAACACTACGGGTCTCGAACAGGTACAACCATTTTGTATTAGTGCTCAGTCATTAAAAAAAAGAAGGGCAGGCTGACAATAATATCTCCCTTTCTGAGGATGTGCTATCATGCTGTTTGACCTCCTCCACCAGTTGAATTAATTTTTTTTAATACTTATCTAATCCCAATAAAATTCTTCCATAAGAGTGCCCTTAGTTTGGCAGCAACTGAAGACAGGCAACACTGTGCATAATCAGATGCTCAGCTCTTCAAGAGTCCCCTTGATTGACACCCAATTTTACATGACCTGTAAGGGTTAAATCTCCCTTCCTCACACCTTCAGGAGAGACACCACCACACAGGAAGTCACAGGTTGTTCCTGAGTTGACACCTTTTCTCCAGGGCCTGGAAGTCTATTTCCATACTGTTCTCACTCTTTTCCCCCTTTCCCCTCTCACTATTTGTCTGCTCGATAAAAAACTAGGATTTTGGTGAGACTGCATTTGCTACAACAACGAGATCTGCTACTGTAGTTACTATAATTCCAAAATTGTTAAATTCTTGGAGTCTATACTATTCATTTCTTTCCTCCATTTGATCTGAGCTGAACCCTGGTGGCATAGTGCCCAGGATACAGAGTGGCAGTGAAAGACTTTGCAGAAGCACTTTGTTTCAAAGCTATCAAGGAAATATATGCAATAATTTTAACACCTGTTTTTATAGAACTGGACCAAATCATGTGCCACACAGCAATTTTAGTCACATCAGGACTGAATTAAAAGAGAGGAAAGAACTACCATGGGGGATGGCAGCTGTTGAACGCCCTTCCCATCTCTCTTTTGCAATGAATTTGGAAAGGGCACTGCACAAAACTTTGCAGCATTAAGACTCAAATACTTGTTGTGCACCTTGTCTCTGATCATTAGTAAAACCAATTTCCATTTAATGCTTTCAGCTAAATGTTACATTTGCTATTTAAAATGTTCAATTCATTACAATGCCATAAAATTGATCAATTCATAGTTAATGAATTGTTTTTCTCTGCAAACACCAAATTCCTTCTCTTTCTTAAATGATAGCTGGAAAGAGAACTGACATATGAGAAGCTGTCTGAATGGACCGATTCCAAGAAGATGACCGAGACTCTTGTGGATCTGTACCTACCTAAATTCAAAATGGAAGAGAGATATGACCTCAGCGATAATCTGATCAGGATGGGAATGCGCAGTGCCTTCAGCAGCAATGCTGACTTCAGCGGAATGACAGAGAAGGATAAAGTGATGATCTCCAAAGTTTTCCACAAGTCTTTTGTTGCAGTTGATGAGAAGGGCACCGAGGCAGCTGCTGCTACTGTTGTCATTATAGAACTAGCAAGTGCCCATGTTAGTCATGCTCTGAAATTTAGGGTTGACCACCCTTTCTACTTCTTCATCAGACACAACAAGTCCAAGAGCATCCTCTTTTTTGGTAGATTCTGCTCTCCTCTAGAATGAATTATTACTTACTCTCAGACAGCAACCAAGGTTCACTGTTCAATGAAAAAAAATGTGAACTAAGGTACTACAATCTTTAAGCCATGTAGCCATACTGAAGTGCCTGCTCTTTTCCTTCTACCCAACCCCCTCAAAGAAGGCAGCAAACAGAAAACATCCTGTGTCACCAAAGAACATCCCTCTACTGCTTCTTTCTATTGTCCTAACGAGACAGTCCTAACCAGATTAAAAAAACACATAATTTTGCTTGCTTTTATCATATCTGCTCTTCTGGCTTTGTTGTTTAAAAGTAAGGTGGAGTCATAAAAGCTCTCTGCACACAGGCCATCATCTAGCCTTGTGTCAAATGCTGACTTCAAGGGAAATGCAGTTCATTCTCTTGACTCTCGCAGAGAGGAAAAGAACCCCGAAAACAACCCACAAACTTGTAGAAATCTGTATGCTCTCTTTTGCTCTCTTTTCCTCACTGGGAAATCTGCATTTGTACTACGATGCTATTTCATAACCTTAATTTCAAATTTCAATGACTGTTGGAAATTAACAAAATTTAATACAAATACAGAATAATCTCAGAATGCCCCTTACCATCCCCTGCCTCACCACATGTATATAGGCACATCACATTCATTCTTTCCTTCTCTTTCAGCTTTCTAAAAAAGTAAGGCTGTGAGGAAAATTTGTCCAACCCTTAATATTAAATTGCTGACTTCTAATCACACTGCATTTTTTCCTCATTTTCTAAATTTTTTAGTTTAAGGTTGCTGAGATTTCTAACCAGCAAAAATGATAAGAAAACTATTAGCAACATGCCTTCTTGCCACCATTTAAACCTGTTAGAATTTAGGTCTGCTTCCTCTTTTTAATTTTACTTAATTATACCTGTTTCCTGTTTAATATCTACAAAGCTTCCTTGCCACCTGTAATATTGACCAATGTTTGATTTGTACCTTATGAGTGCATCTCAGCAAAGATATTCGTGGATTGACAGAAACCCAGTGAAATTTTGATTTTGATTGATGCTTTACTTATTATTTTACCATGAGCTGCATTTAAAAATATAAATAAACTTGAAGTTGTGTTTGTGTTTATCAAGACACTGAGTTACTTGATTCTCTTATGCATCCTGCACTCTGCACAGCTGGAGCATGTTTCCATTCTTGTCATTCCAAATCATCCACCACATCATCCCAATTGACAAAGCTGAGAAACTTTAACACACCTGTGTCTTATTTTCACTAGGTTTCAAATAGGCCTCCTCCAAACACTGTTATTCTGCATGTCATCCTAGGCATTTACAAACATACCTTTCACAACACACTAGAAATAAGGAGTCGACCAGGGGCTATGGCTCAGAATAGCACCTGTCGGAACTCAGGACATCTCTCTGGATGCCCTGAATGGCTCAAAATCCTGGCAGGGGCTCGGAGACTCTGGCAGGAAGCCAAAGACACTTGGGAATCCGATCTTAACCCATGGAGCAAATTACCAACTCTATATGAAGAATTACAAGTCACAAAAGTTTAAGTAACATAACAGTAGTTGTCATAGGGTGAAAGGTGGAATTTTGAAGAATTTTACTATGGGGGTCTAGGGAGACAAGATGGAGGGATTTGGGCATTGTACTGTTCTTTTTTCTTCTTCCTCACCTCCACCTTGTTGGTGATAGTGGCATTTTGGGATTGGTTTAGAATAGAAAGTCACAGTCTAACATAGGTGATAGGTATTGGAACATAACTGTAAATATCGAATACATAGTTTGTAGTATAAAAGACAACACCAGCCCGGGGGTGGGGAAGTGTGCCTCAGACTGACCTGCAGAACAGACCTTGGCAGGCCAGACAGAAAAGGTTTTAGATAAAAAATAATAAACAACCTTGAGAACGACAGCCGAAGACTTCTGATTTCTTCTCGGACAGCTGGGTTGGGGAAAAAAGACTTTTAACACACCTTGCGATCATCTCAACCAGAGAAAATCCCGAGAAGCACCTTCCAAATATCCTTTTTGACCATATTCAAGAGTGAACAAGCAATGTGAAAAAAATGAACCCTCCACACACCCCTCTTATCCATGTACAATAATGAACAAGCTATACTGTACTGGCAGCATCAGGTCCCTCTGACAGCTTGGGAGGGCAGCAGTTGTGCTATCCCTGTGGTCATAAGGAATAGCATAAAATTTTGCAGCCATTGTGGTAGTCCAATTATGTGTCAGAGAACATTATGTAAGAAAACAGGATCTGAATGCAGGAGGGAGGTATCATAAAAGCATTTCCTCTCAACAAAATTCCACCTATAATTACAACTTGTTCCACCTCCCCAGAAGGTATTCTATTTGGAAATACATCTCCCTTCAACAAAGTATATCCACATCTTCTTCCTTGTACAAAATGCTGCTTCTAAAATCAGTGCCCTCCTTTGCCTGTAAGCCACAGTTCAGGATTTAGTTGTCTGTCCCTCAGGGCCTACTCAGTGCAGCCCAGATATGTGCTACTGACTCGGCTTTACTGAGAAGTTTGTTCTTTAGGTGTGGAAGAACACATAAGTGAAGGCTGTGAAAAACAAGAAGAGTGAAAACAGAACCTCTGAGGCTCTCTCTCACTACAGCACAGTGACTGCCAGCGGGTGAGAGATGCAAAAGGTCAAACAGGCTAGGTTGGCTACCAAGCCACTCCCAGTTTCAGCTTTCCTTGAAGAGTACACATTCCAGTGTATGACTTGGAATACAAGTGAAAAGTGTGAAAGAGAAGAAAAGGAACCCATCCAGAGCTGCAGAGGTCATCTACAAGCAACACTGGAGATGCTTCATTTGTGCTTCCCTGCATTATTGTCATGCTAACCAGCATCTGGCTCTCAGGTCAGGCTAACCCTTCCAGAAACAGAATTGTCAGGGTAGAAGTGGCTATTTGAGATCATCTGGTCCCACCCACTATGCAAACAGGCTAAACTGATGCTGGTTGCACAGGCCAATATCCAGCTGGATTCTGAATACCTGTCTCCACCAAGAGGTGGAGGATACATAAGCTGTCTTGGCAACCCATACCAGTGTTTGACCATCCTCATAAGTGACCATCTCCATCTTCTCTTATGTTCAGATTGTACTTCATGTTTTCAGCCTGTGCCCATTGCCTCTTGTCACCTGTCATGGTTTGACACTGGCCAAATGCCAGGCACCCACAAAAGTCACTCACCCACCCTCCCCTGCCACAGCTAAGCAGAGAAATGGAAAAAAAAAATTGACAAAGGGTTCATGACTTGAGCTAAGGACTGGGGAAAAAACCTCCAAGGGCAAAACAGGCTTGGCTTAGAGGTACAAAGTGAATTTATTACAAGCCAAATTAGAGGAGGATAATAGGAAATAAAATAAGCCCTTAAAACACCATTTCTTCCCCCACCTCCCCTCTCCTTCCCATCAACAGTGCAGGGAGGTAGGGCATGGGGGCTTTGGTCAGTTCATCACCCGGGGTTTTCTTCTGCTGCTCAGGGAGAGGAGTCCTTCCCCTGTGAGACCATGGGGTTCCTCCCACTGGAGACAGTTCTCCATGAACTTCTCCTGCATGGGTCCACTCTCACAAGCAGAAGTCCTCCCAAACCTGCTGTGGTGTGAGTCATCCTTCCACGGGGTGCAGTCCTCCAAGGCCAGGCTGCTCCAGCCTGGAAGCAGGGCCCCCTCTAAGCCAAATTAGAGGAGGATAATAGGAAATAAAATAAGCCCTTAAAACACCATTTCTTCCCCCACCTCCCCTCTCCTTCCCATCAACAGTGCAGGGAGGTAGGGCATGGGGGCTTTGGTCAGTTCATCACCCGGGGTTTTCTTCTGCTGCTCAGGGAGAGGAGTCCTTCCCCTGTGAGACCATGGGGTTCCTCCCACTGGAGACAGTTCTCCATGAACTTCTCCTGCATGGGTCCACTCTCACAAGCCGAAGTCCTCCCAAACCTGCTGTGGTGTGAGTCATCCTTCCACGGGGTGCAGTCCTCCAAGGCCAGGCTGCTCCAGCCTGGAAGCAGGGCCCCCTCTCTCCACTGAGTCTCCCACTGGATCACAGCCTCCTCCAGACATCCACCCACTACTGCATGAGCACCTCCACCATGGGCTGTGGGTGGATCTCTGCATCCCCCATGGATCCCCACAGGCTGCAGGCGCACAGCTGCTTCACTATGGTCTCACCACAGCCTGCAGAGGAATCTCAGCTCTGGTGCCTGGAGCACCTCGTCCCCCTCCTTCTCCACTGCCCACCTTGGTGTCTCCATGTTGTTTCCCTCACATGTTCTCCCCTCCTCCTCTCCTCTGGTTAGAAAGAAAACCGTGTGCATTTTGTTTTGATTTTCTTCTCAAATATGTTATCACAGAGGCGTTACCAACCTCTCTCAGCTTTGGCCAGCAGCATGTCCATCTTCAGAGCCATCAGGGAATGGCTCTGTTGGACATGGTGGAAGCTTCTGGCAGCTTCTCACAGGAACCACCTCTGTGACCCCCTTGCTATCAAAAACCAGGCCATGCAAAACTCACTGGAACCTCTGGGGAGAGTCTGGTTCCTTCTTTGCTACATCCTGTAAGGCATTAGTCAAGTTACAGGTGCAACGTGACTGCATTTCCAAATAACTGTTTTCAAGAAGCCTTAGGTTTTTTTCTGTATCATCAAAATTTGCAACTTCAGCTCCACAAACTCCTCTTTGAAAAGTCACAGTAACTTTGAAAACTAAAGAAATAAGTACTTACTGGAAATTGATAGAGCAAGCCTCAACACAAAGATGTGGTAAGCATGGACTGCTTGTCACTTAGTGACTCCATGCTTGTCAAAATGCAACCTATTAACATGCTTTCAGTTTATCCTACAATGAAAAATGGGGGTTTTGTGTTCCAGTACCAATCTCAGATTCATAAAATAATCCTTGGCACGTCTGTGGTAGATGGAATTCATGAAAAGCAGAAATAATAGACATAGGTTACATTAATAAAGCCAAGAAAATTGACAGTGTTGGTGTACAGTGTTAGTATACAAGACAAGGACATATAAACCCCCACTCTTTCTAACTGCAATGCAAATGCATCCATATTTTAAAGGTTTTATTTTGTCAACAGAAACAGGCACAAAACCCCCACTTTTCAGGTGTTATTTATGGTCCTGTCTTTACAGTTCTATTGCAACAGATGTGATACTTGGTCTCATTTTCTTCCTAGGCAACAAAGCTGAATAGGATTTTTTGCAGAGC